CTGATGAATCAAAAACTATCAAGGAAGTGTCTTCTTTGACTCGGAGCATGTGAAGTTTATTCGCCGAGCTTTCAACTAACAAGTTGCCAAATGTGAACCTGCGAAAATCGTTCAATATTTTGCCAACACGTTGGCAGCGAGGGCTTCCAGTTTCCCGTCTTGATGAAACTAAAGCAAGGATGTGCAGGTTCCACACACAAGCAAAACAGCGCAAGGAAAACAGCTATCCTAAATGAGCACGTGTTCAGGCCACCTGGGGGCACCAGGTCATGGATCTCAGTAACATCACACTCCGTCACTCCTCGAACAAAGGCGGCTCGTTGTCCGGGTCATCGTCATATGTGTAGCCGCCTGACTGCCTGAGATGGGCCGAACCCTCCCATAAAGCCTGACTCAAGGCAATGCTGCAATGCCTTGGCAGGATGCCCTCCAGCAAATCACGAAGGAATCGCTGGCGAATCGGTGTCATTGGACATTTTCTGGCAAGCTTGGCTCAAGCTCAGGAAGTGCGTCCTTCCGAGAGGGTGGTGAATGAAAACTTACAGGCGCAGCGTTTGCCAGGCTGCAGGGTTTCATTGTCAGAAAAGATTTCAGCCATGTAGTATCTTGGCCCTGTAAAGGCTGGCAAAACACACAACAATATGGTAGAAGCCATCCAAGCAACAAAATCCGGCACCACAAGAAGCTTGGCTTGATGGCTTGTAAGCGGCCTCTGCCAAAATCAGGTTCGGTCAGCTAAGGAGAAGCGGTCTATGTCTTCATCACCTGTAGCCAAGGTGCGGGAAACTCCCAGGTGACATGGCTCCGCCAATTTGGCCGCCCATTTGGCTGCCGATCGGTCCACCGATCGGTCCACCGATCGGTCCACCGATGGGTCCACCGATAGGGCCACCGATAGGGCCACCGATAGGGCCGCCCGGCTGGCCCAGCTGGCCGCCCGGCTGGCTTATTTGGCTGCCAACGGGCTGCGCCTGCCCCAAATTGCCTTGCCATGTCGCGGAAACAAGGAAACTGTGGCGGGGTGGGCAAACCAGCTGCAGCGTTGAGCGTTATGATCAAATGCTGATTGGTTGAGGAATTGCCTCCCAGAGATGCCTTGCCTATGTTCTCTTGCAGGCACTCTATGCGGGCATTGGGCTTTGCAATTTGAAACAAACAAGAAACATCTTCTTGAAGGCTCTTCAAAACTACGGTACCAAGCAAACAAATTTGCCCTAAGGACCTCCATGGATCTCTTTAGCTTTCAAATAAGTTTGTCCGCGTGGTGGTTTCATCCTGGGAGCACCGTGTGACGTTTCTTACTCGGCTTTCGGAAAGCATGAATGCCTATCCGGAAGGGATTCCCATTGCTCCCTGTTGCACGGGCTTCGACCATCAGCCACTGCCCTCTCTGCTTCTGGCACTTGCCCCTGACAAAACACAGGGCTACCCTTTTGCAGAAGTGGGACGTGCATACTGGCCTCTTAAAGTTTTGAGGGCCGGCAATTTAAGAAAACTTCAGGAGGACAAAAGTGGATGCCTCTTACTTGTCTCTGCAAAACCGTGTGGATCACCCGCGGATCGAGTGGGAGTCAATCCTCACTCGCTTTTAAACTCAAAACAAGCTAGAGGCTTTGGAGTGTGGACATTCGACCGCGCGAAGGCTGTGTTCTTAAGAAGGCCCAGGAGGCGCAACTTTCGTCCTGGCAGTGTACATCTCTGTTTGAACACCCGACTGTGACCATCCGTGTCTATCAGTCATTGCTGATTGCCTGACTGAACGTCCATCAGCAAAGTTCAGCCAAAAATCAAAGAGAACTACTCCACGATGGCCTGCCTCCGCCTGGCTGCACTGGAGGCGCCTCCGAACAAAAATCAGTGCTCTCCAAAGCGGAGATCTTGATTCTTGAAACGGATGTGGCGATAAGGTCCAGTCGCTCCCAAGTTGCGACCTATCAAATGAGACCGTCCCTCCACTTATGTTGTGATATGTTCGTTGCCAATTGGGAACACCTTATTGCAGATTTGATCCACAGAACTGAGAATTGTGCCTCCTCTATTGCCTTGTCAGCCGTTGATGCTGCGTGCACTGTTGGCTTCCTGTGCTGTTGGTTCACTCTCTTCTATAGTTAATATCATGGGGGCAGCCCAAACAATTAAGACAATTGAGCCCTTGTTAAGCCCTCAATAAGGCCTTCAGTAAGGGCATACTTGGGCTCCCTCCTCTTCCCCTCCCCCCCATGATAAATAAGTATCCCGCATGAGCGGCCTTGTAATTCCTTCAAACACGGAACACCATCATGCGCAATGCTTCATAAACGCTCGACCTATCAACAAACAAACATCTACCGGTCCGAATTCGGCGCTGCAAGCTTCCAAGCAACATACAAAGGCCTCTGGAATGGGCAAACTGCCTACTGTAGATACCATTGCCATTTTTTGATTTTTGGTGGGCTGCATGGCTGGATGGCAATTCTGCTTGCTTGCCTGCATGTCTGCCTGCCTGCCTTCCTGCCTGAAGGATGCAAACAGGAGATCAAAGTGTCGGAACCCCTGACGCATGGCAAACTTGCTGAATCTTGGAAGGTAGTTGATGTCAGCGATTTGTACATAACAGGGGAACGATCTCTGGTTGCACAGCCAAACGCCCGCATCGCATGTGAAACAGTTGGCGTGTTACTGATGCAACTCTTCCGCCGTCAAAACAATCCAACTTGATGATCCAAGTATGAACTGCACATCTCTAGCCTCCTAGTACCTAAGCCGCTCTTTCTAACCCCTGGCTACGGGCTTTTGCAGCCAAGCCTGAACTGTCCCCGCCCTGCCTGAGCCTGTCCTGGCGCGGCAAGAGTGCGAAAGAAACTCACCTGGGTCACTTCTGTAGCTTCTGGGACTGGAAGAAATTACGTGGTGCAGGCATGAAAAGCATGTTACCCACCAGGGGTCAACCCCCTACCAAGTCCAAGATGGCCCAGCAGTGGCCTTCGTCAGACCGATGCCCTGGCATGCCTGCATTCTGCGACAAAGCATCGCGCAGAACAATCAACAATGCAAAACACCAATTGTGGCCTCATCACTCTGCGCAGTGTCCGGCTTCTTGAATAGCATGTCTTACTGTCCCAAAGCTGCAGCATTACCTACGGTAGGACAGCACATTGATACGCGCATTGAAATCACGATTGTGCCCTAGCAGGGGTCGCCAATTTCATGGCTATCCCGTCGCCTTAAGCGGCGTTATTTGGGCGATCTAAGGTAAAATGCTCACTTCATGCAGCGGACTTCGGGCAGACACGCATTTGACAACATCAATGTGCACGTCTTTTATGCATAGCCGTTCAACATTGAAACTTAATGAGTAATGCGCTATATTTGTTAGGCTCGTAAGCTACGCATCCGGCATCGGGTGCAACACTGCATCGTGTTCTTGGTGGGTATTAAGCAACTGTTGAAATCCAGTATGACTCCCTGTACATGTGTGTTGTCAACAATATGCAACCAGTCTGAGACACTGGTGGCACATTTCTGCATGGAATTGACCTTCAGCTGGCTATCAGGCGAGTAGAGACATCCTTGGTTCATGTTGGCAAACACATCTCCTCCGCCGCTTGCACCAACATCAGATCGGTTTCGCATTCTGTCCTGGTGTGAAGAACTGCAGGCCGTCTGCGCCGCTTGGTCCCTGCGCGAGGGCGCACTCTCTCCCCTGGATTAGACTGCGGCGAAAACACAGGTGTGACTCGAGAGACCTCAAACCTAACAACATGCTCGTGTACATGCTGATATTCGGTCAAGTTGATTGTCGTTCATGGTGTACTGAGATTAATGTTGTGGCCGAACTTTTCTATTAAGTAGCAACCCCGGATATTGGTTGGCTCGTAGGCTTTGAAAAAGCATGGTTGCCCGAGAGCCACATGATGCAAAGCGCCAAAGTGGTTCGTTGCCAACCTGCCACAGCGGCTCTCTACATTCGGCACACACAAGGTTGACAAAGAAAGCTTCAACTAATACGGCAAGCTTTCGCATCATTCAGAGTGTGACTGGAACTCCTCCTCATAGCTCAAAACGTCTCAGAACGCCCCGCCAAAAAAGAGGACATCGACTTGCAGGTCAAAGCAAAGCCGTGGCTGAGAGTAAGGCGAGCAAACAACAACACACAACAACACAAGTGGCGCACATATAGCCGCCCATCCACAGCCAACGGCACCTGACAACGCCACCCTTCGATAATGATTGGTTGTTTTCAAACGAGCCTCTCTAACTAGGGGTAGATGCTTCGTCAAGGTGCTTGCCGAACTCCTTCCGGGCATGTTTGAGGACCAATCATCGGAGTCTCAAAGGGAGAGGACTCTTCGGCCCTAAAACCGGAATAGCTGCCAAGCAAAGTCCCGGGCTGCTCTGCAATGATTACAGCTGCATGGGCGGATCATATGATTCAATGCGGCGCGCATAGACCCACAAAGGGATACAAGCGTGATAGAACTCCAGGACCTGGATGAGGGCCTCTTTGCAAGTGGGCGCAAGATGATTGCATCGAGACGACGCTGAAACCATGACTAGCGTTTTCGTTGGTGCTTGACCATCCTCTTGATTCGTCGACTGGTTGCGAGAACTTCACCTTGTGCAAGCCAACCCCACAATCCAATTTGGATTGACATTCATGCAAACAAGTCGAAAATGATCCTTTGGGCAGGTTAGTTTACACACGACACAGGGTTCCGCATTCCATTCCCTCCCCGGCACACACTTTTTGACAACGTGATTCGATTGGGTTTGGAACGGCATGCTTGATCTGGTACCGAGACGGTATCAGATGCATTGCTGTCGCTTTGGTCGACTTGGCCCATTGTTGGACCCAAGTGCCGAGCCCACTAGCCCAGAGGTGACCAGCCAATTGAGATCGGGTCTGAGCGAAGATCCCCAGCGGGATTGTGTTCAGCTCAGTCAAGCTTTAGCCTAATTAACGTGTGGCAACACCTCGGCGGAACTGCGTTGTCTCGCTTGGAGCAGACCTCTGGATCGTTGTGGCTTGACTGGCTGGGCATGAAAAGGGGCAAGCGAGCTCGAATCGGGCGCACTTACTGTGCGAAAACTGCTCAGACTGTCTCCGACTCGTGCGGTGGCTCCTCAGCTCGATACTCAAGGACGGAACTGGTAAAATAGGTATCCGGCAAATCTTGGAAAATCAAGGATACCTCTTTCGACCCATGGTCAGGAGTTCACATCCATTTGCTGAATCTCTCAAAAAGGCCATGTGCTGTTATCTCTTGGGATTCAGATTTGAGCTTTGGACGAAAACCAGGGGTGATCGTTTCTCTTCCCAAACAGTTTGCTTGCACAGCAGCTCAAGACAAAGAAAAGAGGGAGATAACGGGTGAGTTGGGATTGTGATGAACGGAGTCTTGGAGAACACAAAAAAAAGAGCCTTGTTGATGCTGTTGCTAGTGTCAGTCATGTGATTGGTGTTGGCATTAGACTGGAAGGGAATTGAAGAGGAGCGGGAAGTTCCACGTGGACTACTACCACTATTGCCTGTAACGCCTATTGTTTGCTTGGAGGCCTAAGGTCCTCCGGCTGCTTCATGCTGCCCAAACATGTCACGACACCGCAAATTCAAGTCTTTAGGTTTAGGGTCTAGGTTTAGGGAGAAAGGTTTTGGGCTTAAGTTCAGGGTTTAGGTTTAGGTTTCGGGCCGTTTCGGGCTTCAGGCTTAAGGTTTCAGGGACTGAATTTAGGCGTAGGGTTTAGGTTTAGGGGTTAAGGCGGTTAAGGTGTATGGCCCGGCTGGGAGTCCGTGGCGCACCCGTGCGTTTTTTTTTTTTTTTTTTGCGGTGTCCGCAGGTGTTCGCGGCGCAAACAAGCGATGGCATTAGCCGTATTACTAGCATTACTACTATCACAACCCGAACTGGCACTTCTAGTATTAATTGCTATCAAATACTACCGTGGCTATTGCCTCGCTCCTTCTGTATCAAATGAAAAAACACATATCTGTTTCAACCAGTACCACTAGCCAGGAAATAGCATCAGATAATATGGTTACGTGGTTACTGCGTCTGCCATGTTCTGACTGAGAAAAGCTGTTCTTGTTTGAATGCTGCGCCCGAGTTCTTTGGTCTCCCGAGGCAAGCAAGATACGTTCCTTCACGCAAGAGAAGAAACAAGAACAGGTTCAACTACTGTTCAACCTTCCCGTGCCGTGGCATCCAAAGCGTTCCAACTTCTCTGCAGCTCCGAGTGCATTTCAAGCCACAATAGCCACCACAACTTGCATAACCACTTTTGCAAGCTAAGGACTGAGCAATGCCAAGCTTCTTGAAGTCTTCTTGGAAGAGACAATAGTCCTGACGATATTGGTGCTCTGAATCAAGTCGCAACATATGTGTGTTTCATCAAAATCGAGCAGAGAAGGTCATGGACCATTCAATACGGCAGTCCTTTGGCCTCGAATCCCAGATCGGGCGAACTCTGATCGGGCAGCTAAAAAACAAGGTCAGCCCCAGGAAACATCCTCTACATTTGCCAGCCAGCTGCACGGCCAGGGTTCATAGGGGGTTTGGAATTAGCCTGCAGGAAAGTACAGGATGATGCCCCGACTCCTGCACAACAAAGGTTGCACAAAAGGAATGTACAAAAGGTCTCAGACATGTCAACTCACCGCACAGTGGTTTTGGTGAAACACACACACACACACATCAAAATAAACAACAGCTTTCTGCAGGTGGCCGGCTCAGCTTGCCGCTCTGCTCGCTTTCTACAATTATCGATTGAAGGTCATGGGAATGAATGGCAGCTTTCCCATTTATTGTTAAATGGGAATAACTTCACATTTGCACATTTGCACAATGTAGATATGTGTATCTCTCTCTATTTGTAGTTTGGTTAAGTGTATCTCTCTCTATTTGTAGATATGTGTATCTCTCTATTACTAAAGTTACATGCTGCCTCCCAATTGCAATTGTCCTTGAGTTAGTCGCATTGCAATCTTTGCCCGCCGTCCTGGCTACTTGGCCGCAGCATAAAGTCAGCTGCCTAGCGGCGCGGTCGCTGAGGTGCGGTGCTCCTCTGAAAGGTTTGCACTCCGCATACGCGGCCCACGCTGTTTGCTGTTGTTTGGAAGCTGTAGGGACAGCTGAGGCTCATGGATCCCACCCATTCTTCATAATTGATATGGCAACCACAACTGACAATGCCCAGCCCTCTCCTCCAAAAGGGAGAAAGGTCAAGAAAGAGCCATCAGTTCCAAAATGTCCAAGTAAGAACAAATGGAAGCAAATTCACTGGAATTTCACAAAAGTCACACCTAAAGTACCCCGATTAGGTGGCCTCTAAGCAAACTCTGAGTGAACAAATGATTTAATATCTCTTTTTACATCTTGTCAAACATGTTCTTCATCCTTTCTAGACCCCTCGCCCCTGGCCAGCCCCGCAATATTGACACTGGAAGTGTACACAGTGATCATTTTGGGCAATTCTTGTGTATAAGGGCTTGGGCCTCTGGTCACAATTCCCTCCCCATGAACCCTTGTGATGATTGCTGATTCGTTGTCAAAAGGCTTAAAACAATTTAACGCCCCATCAATTTCTGACTATATCCCTTCTATCTTATAGCCTATGGGCCCCAATGGTGGCTAAGAGCAACCCGAATAGCTGCAGCCGCACTCGGCAGTCTGCGAATCCACCTGGGTGCCCGGGCGCCCCCGGAGAGCGTGCGGTTCACCACGCTTTTCCGGTGCTTCTCCAGCGCGGAGCGCACCATGGTGGAGTTGAAGCTGGCGCCCTCGGCTTTTGGTTGTGGTTAAAGGATTTGACGGTGGCCACATGGTGTCAAACAAAGGGCTTCGAGTCGAGCATGCGCCCACTTCAAGCAATCTGCGCGAATTCCATCTCCCATGCAAACACATTTACACACTGTTGGACGCTTGTTGGGTGGACGCTTTATTGTTGGTTTGGATGTGGTTTGGATGTGCGGATGCTTTGTTTGTCTTAGTTGTTCAGCCCCAATTCTGTTGTTCAGAGAAAACAAGAAGCGCTCCACAGGGGCTCTGCTAGTTTGCTTTACGCCATGCAGCCGGCGCTTCGTGCCGAGGCTCAGGCAAAGCATGGTCACAAATATCCAAGCACCAAGTGATGCTTCTGCCACGACCTAGAAGGGTCTGTGTAGACAGTATCTTGCAATGTAAAACATGCCCAACTCTGAACTAGATTGTCGACTATGCCGCTCGATCTGATCAAACGAGGGCAAGTTCACAAGACACACACGGAACCGGCTGCTTCACCCACGGGTGTGAGTAGGGTGAGGCGAAAACAGGTCTGGAGAACTCCAAGAATGATCAATATCTCAGATGGTTCAAGGCTTGGGCGGGGGGCTGTACCAGTCATGGCAAGAGATAGTAGTGAGTATTAGGGGCCATTGTCGCTACGGAGCGTTGGGGCCATGACTGTCCCTTGTCCCTTGCTGTGGCTCTACCTCAATATTTAATTGACACTCATATACACACAGCAACAAACACAGCAACGACCACAAACACGTCGTTCAACCGCTCTTCCTGAACCGCGCCTCCCCATCGATGCTGTCCGCCACGAAGACGGACCTCTCAGGCGCTTCCAGACTGGCGTCATCGCCGGCGCGGGGAACGATGACAACGCCGAAGCCCCTGAGCGGAAGGGGTGACAAAGGGGCTGAGCAACCTTTCAAGGTAAGGCTGGACAGCGGTGCATGACAAATGACTCCTCACAGCATGGAAGTCAAAAATGACAAGAGCCCAACAAGCATATTGTGAATGACATTGAGTTACATTGAGCAACATTGAACAGCCGCAGAGACACTCCCTTTCTGCTCTGACTTCTGGATTGTCCACATCCTAGCTTAACGCGTGCCCAAGGATGTGCAACGTGCAAAACCTCTCATTGGAAGAGCAAATCTGAGTACGCTGCAACTGCACTCTGCGCAAATCATTGGTTCAGCAACCATAGCAATGGAACACGTGACACACTCTGAACAAATGATCTTGGCAGGGCAACCTATCACTCGAAACATAAATGAACATGAAGCAGCTTCAGTCTATAGTCAAGCAGCAGGAACTGAAATGTTTGTCCACGTGGAATCGAAAGAATTTGGCCCGGCTGGGCAACATATGGGCAGCAGCTTGGACAACATACGGCACTTTGCTTTGCAAACGGCGACATCTGGCTGCGGACACCCCACAACAGCCACCTCACCAATCAGCACCTACATCCTGAGCCGGCTACAAATTGCCTTGAAGTTGCCGTATCTCTCTGGTGGTACATCACGGCATGCATCCTATGGCCTCCATCCTGCCCGACGCCTCTCCGTCAGGAAGCCCCGGTAGAGGCCACGGCTCTGCGCGTGGTCCGTGCCACAAGCATAGAAGACCTGAGAAGTACGGAGCTGGGACAGGGCCCCAGGCAGCAATCGAGAAAAGCATTGAGGATGATCGGCCATATTAATATGGGTGCAAAAGAACAGTTCCTCCAACACCAGAGGCTGGGTGGACAGGGAAGACAAGTGCCTGGCGTCAAACAATAGTGTCAACGGTCTGCTCCTGCTCATGCAGTTCCCAGAAGGATCACGCAAACAGCAACGATCCAGGACACCCATTTGTCATACAAACACCTGGTTACTTTTGCGTTGATTCAAGACTGCCCGAGTGCCAGACAATGCTACGCACCCACAATGTGTGGCCAGCAAGAAACAACACATATTCCGTTTTCAAAAAAAAATGCAATTTCAGGAAGTCTGAATGTTGTTTGGCTGTTTGTTTGCCTGTTTGCTTGTTTGCTTGCTTCCTTGCTTGTTTGTTCGTTTCATTGCTTCCTTGTTGTGTTTGTTTGTTTGTCTGCTTGTGTTGTTTGGTCAGCGGGGGCCGTCTTTGATGAGCCGGACTCGTGTGGCTTCTCCAAAACCAGCCCCCAAAAAGCAAACCTCTCACGGCAGCTTGTTTCAACAAAATGCACACGACAAGCTACAAAAGAGTACCCTTTCCAATGCGGGAAAAAGGGCTACCAATGTCTCTTTTAAACTCCCTTTTTCGGGTTGATTCAAAGGGAAACCAAACGGAAGCCGAAGCCCATGTTGGGGTTTATTGTTGACACACAAACAAATGCAAAATCCGCTTGTGACATCTTTGATGGCGTCCCTGCCTTGAAGCCGTCCTGCAGCTGCCAGGCCTGGAAAAGCAAGCAAAAGCACACAGAAAAGTCGAAAGGAAAGGGGAAACACAATGAAGAAACGTGGAGAAAGAGGAAAAAACAAGAAAAAACAGAGGGCGCCGCTGGGCATGATTCTCGTTGATGGAATCAAAACCCGGAGTCACAATGAATTCTGAACATTTGAAGGGTTTGTGGGCCTTTTATGGTGGTTTCGCTAGTTAGCCTCAATATCGAGGTTCCCTTGATGTAGTTGAACTCCTACATGGGCAATTTGTGCTAGGCCAATTCTAGACTGAAAGTCTGGTGGGTAGCTGCTGAGGGCCCACTCCACGGCATGCAACAGCTGTTGGCAGATTGCAGGCTGGCAAGAGCGACTTCAACTGTGTGGCTTGCAGTAGAAATCTGTGGGAAGAAAAGCTGCTTGTCATATCAAGGTGACTTCTGACACCGAACAACACTTCAGTGCCCCAAATCAAGCAACCTAGACATGTATAATGTATTGTGGGCAATAGCGGCAACAATCAATCCAGTCCGTTCTGACAGGGACCAAAAGCAGCAGCAAACGGAAGGCGTCGCTTCCCCTCAGACTGGAGCCAAATACAAGCTCATGAGAACTTCCTCGTCCTGGGGATGTTATTGCGATTGGTGCCGACACGCACAGCCAGCAAGCCATGCCAAAGCTTGGGCACTTCCCAAGAAAGCAAGTCGAACCCCTCCTACCATGCTGTCCCGAGTCTATCAGTTTCGCAGCGAATCGAATCGACCGCCTTCTCCACGCCGCGCAACTTCCTTTGAAGAGCAACTGCGACCTGGGCAGCTCCAAGAGGAGCAGGTCACCGACAAACACGGCCATGGCCAGTGTCGGACTGAAGTTTCAACATGCTCCAAGAAGTCCTACAGTCCTACTGCAAAGAACAGAGTCAAAGGTCTGACTTGAAATAATTTCAGAGCATCACCGGTCCCCGCTTGTATGCCACACGGCATCAACCACGCAGGAAGTGTATCACGCAACGTCGGTCAGAACGCAAGCTGCCCGGGTATGTTGACGAACAAGTGAGCTGACTATTCAGCTTGGACCAAGCCAGAAAAGCCAAAGCACAGATTCTTTGCTTGTTTTGAGGGGGCAAGCTGCATGTCTCCACATCCAGATCTTCGCTTCCAAAGGCAGGCTGTCCCTAGCACATCCTGATCTTCTATGCCAAAAGCTTGCACCTTCTGCTTGAACCAGGACAGCAAAAGCCAAAGTGTTGATGCCTCGCTTTCTGTCAGCCCGGACTGGGTTCTCAATAAAATCGAAAGAGCAGGTTCTCTTTCCCTTTCCCTTTCTATCAAACTGCCCTTTGTTGGTTGTTACTTGACAGAAATTCAGCTATTATTTTGCTTCCTTGTGTATAAATTATTGAACGTAAACGTGCAAAGGGTGGCAATCTTGTCGCACGGGTTGCAAAACACCTGTCACTTTCGAGCAAGCCAATGATTCATGGACCAGCCGTCCCTCATCCCAAGTACCCTTGCCAGCCTCTGGATAATCTGGCCATCGGCCTGGCTTCATGGCCTGGCGACGTGCGACTGACCACAAGCCATGGGCGTTGCAGAAACGTGGGTGATACGGGTTTGTTTGCATCGCATGCCCCAAGGCATGGGCTTCAGGATGGCACGACCAAGGCATGGGCTTCTGCCCTCCAAGCAGAAAGCGCCGCAAGCAATGATGCAGACGCGATGCTCTCTGCAGTCAATGCAGCAATCAATTCATCAAAACTACTAGCAGGGTCAACGAATGCTTACCTGAGTCATGTGGTCGCGTTTACCTTTGCGTCTCCTTCGAGGTGAAGGAGACGCAAAGGTATATACCCATCTTCGAGGAAGGTCACTAATTGAAGGAAGCAGAATGACCAACCACCCAACTGTCACAGGCCCCGCCTCCCACCGGCCCACTGCCAGCAAAGCATCGTCTCCTACTGTCCGCTCGGCCGCCTCCAGGCGGAAACTCGCCGAAAGACCTCGGGGCGGAGTCCGCGTGAATTCCGAGGGGCAAAGGAGCGCCGAGCGAAGCGCCCTAGACTTCTGGGGCCAAAAGTGTGAGGCTAGAATTGGCCAGAACTCCAGAGGGCCAACAAATCAAAGTGCACTTCAGTTTGCCAAATCATGCAAATGAAACCGAGGCAATTCGTGCAAACCCTCTGAAACTCGAAAGCATGAATGGCCCACAAGCAAACGCCTGCAATGATTTCGGTGCTTCTGGAATGATCATACTGCTTGAAAGTGAATTAATCGAAGCAATCTGGGTTCTTGGTCCTTGGTCCCCTTAAAGCGCTTGCGGCTGTTGGCTCCTGTCAAACCAATGGCAGTAA